GCAGCGCCGAGCCCGTGGCCCGGCTCACCATGGGACCTCTTTCGGTTTTTGGCGTTTTTCGATGTTTTTAAGCGACTTCGACGCCCGCAGTTTCGGAAACGGACGCTCGCTTCTGCTCGAAAAGCGTGCGAAAAGCGCGACTTCGACGCCCCGCATCCCCTTCCGAAACTTTGCTCGGCAACTACGGCTCGAAGACGATCGGAAGCCGCGACTCGCTGCGAAGCGCCGCTTCCGCGGGACATCTGCGACTTTCCGCGGGACTTCCGCGGGACTCCTGCTCGTAGCCATCTTCGCCGAAAACAGAGCGCTTTTTGCGAAGCTTCGTGCTGCAGGACTGCCGCGCGACTCCGTTTCTGCATATTTTTGACGGCTGCAACTGGCCGTCTTCCGTTGAAGTGTCCCCCCACTCCAGCGAGCGACGGTTTTGCAAAAGTTGCACGACAGCTGCGCAGCAAGCGCCCGGCAAGCGATTTTCAGTGCCAAAACTTGAAAAAATGCTCGTAAAAACAAGCTTTTAGCTTCGAAAAACTGATCGTACGTACGTACGAACGCACGTGCTTGCGTCTTGCATGCATACCCTTCTTACATACCTGTCCACCTTCCCATGTATCGATCACTCTTTAGATACAAACACATACAGACATACCTATACCCAGACATGCCTCTATGTATATGTTAAGATGTGTATACATACATCTGGGGTATTGTAAGGGAATCCTACTATTTGGGGTCTATGTCATTTATTATCGTAAGCCTCGGAGTAACCCAGGAATGAAATGGGTACCCTTTTTGGGTGAAAAGGTTTATAAGGGAACCTAAACCCTAAAAAAAAGGAAACACGGGCCCACTCTGGGTCGAGCATTTTGTTCATCAACTCAACGAGTCTCGCAACCGTGGAAGCTGAGTTGAGGCCATTTCCTCAACGGACTGAGGCTTCGGCCCTTTGGGGATACCTTTTTCTTCAGTTCTGAAGCCCCCTTGGACCCAGAATCACAGTAACATTCCTGAGGATCTGTTTTCGTTAGCTTCTACTGCCATGTCACCTGCCTTCTGGCAATAAGAGCTACAATAGAAGAAAAAAAAGCTTGAGTAACGTTCTCGCGAAAAGAATTTCGGAGGAAGCAAAAAGCACAAATGCGGTTGACAGGCTCCCAGCTTCCCCTAAGGGCCGACCTCTGCGAAACAAACGAAGAAGAGTCGAATTCATGACACTAGCCCGAGAGCTCGCTGCAGGCCCTCGGCGCCACTTCTCGATGAATCTGTGTCACTCTCTGTCAAGAGGGTTCCGCCGCATCTCTGCAAGCTGCATCGCGCTCTCGCGGCACGAGAGGAATAAGCCAACCGCCAGGTGTACTGCCACCATCGCCAGTGACATGCCAATTCCCAGCCAAGTATACCTGACATGCGCTATTTGAAGCAATGTGAGGAATCCATGTCAGAACGTAAACCCTGCAGATTCAAAAGGAGAATGCTGTAAATTGTCAGGGAAGATGCCAGGCGCCCCCAAAATAGACCTCGGCATGTGCCCCCTTATGAAGCAACATAAGAAACAGGCTTTCTCATGGAAGGACCCTCAACAAAAAGCTTGAGTTCTCGAAGAGAGCTGAAATGCTGAGAGACCAAGTCAAGGAGGCCAATGACTATCTCTGGCACGTCTTCCACGACTCGGAGGCCCGTGTCAAGAGTCTCCCGAAAGGAACGGATGTCCTCCACATCGTCTTCGGTCCTGGAAGGCGCATTCCACGGCCCTACAACCTTAAACGCTCCTAGAACCCTGAGGGCCCTCTAGAATCCCTAAACCCTAAACTTTGCCCTAAACCCTAAACCTCTAGAATCCAAGGCCAAGCAACAACTGCAAAGCGAGAAATACGTTGAAGAAGGGAAGCTCCAAGGCCGCGGCCTGGTTCACGATGGCCTGCGACGCGACGAGGCGTCCACGGGAGGGACGTGATCTGAGGGTTTAGAGTTCAGGGGTTAAAACATGAGCTAGCACAGAAACAGTGAAAGATCCCCGTGAAGTCCACCCTTCAGGCTCCCGAGACCACCGTACGAGTCCGTGGACACCCACCATACGGCGGTGGGAACACGCGTCGCACGACCGATGCGCAGGACTGTGGCGGCGATTTGTGGAGTTGGAAAGACGAGTCGTGCCAAAATGCGCACGGCGGGAGTTCGAATTTCGCCAAGCTCCCAAAGCCTTGACAATGACGGGATTTCGAGACCATGCCAAGGACAACCAGCGAGCAGCCTCCCAGCTTGCCCCTGCTAGAACTTTCATCTCTTCCGAGCCCGGATCTGCCCCAAAAATGTCAGACAGACCCGAAGCATGAGGTGTTGAGCACAGACGGAGCCTCCTCTCCCGTCACCGGCAAGAAAGCGATCCCCTGAACCAAGGCCCAGGCCGAGATCGGCATTAGAGGGCAGAGGCAGGCCATGGCGAGGACCGCAGCGTTGCCAGCCATCAAACCAGAAAGTAATGCTGCCAGAATCAAGCAGCCGAGGAAGATGAAGAATACAACGAAACGCTGCTGCAGGTGCCAGGCTTTCTGTGGTTGTCGCTGCCACAGGCAACGAGCGTAGAACACTATGGTCCATCCCACCGTAGCCCCGAAGCATATCAGAGCTGACATCCACAAGAAGTAGGAGAGCGCTGCACAGCCAATCGCTTCACAGGCTGGCTCTTCCTTCCGGTAGACGTCGTAGTGTTCACAGTTGTCCAGCGGGCTGAACACCTGACAGTTGCCAGTGAGCACCTGGCACGGAGGCTCCGTTTGCAGTCCGGGTACAAGTAAATAGTGTCCCTCAGGATACTTTCTGTTCCTTACGGGCTCTCAATCTCTTACCCTCGCCTCGGCATCTGCTTCGCACAGAGTGTTCAAACTCAGCGTCGAATCGCAGAGTGGCAATTGAAGGATCTCGCTCGTGCTTGGGCAGTGAGCGCTTGTTAGCGGCATCAGAACGCCGGAGCCGCATGCCACCGAAAAGTCCACGAGCGTGGCCCGTTGAAAGGCCTCCAAAGCGTAGAGCATCCTTGGCAAGATTCGAAACTAGACTGACCGGTGTTCCAGCTCCCACAGAATGATCTTCGAACATACATGGGGCATCGGATTGTCCGTACCACAATCAACCCACAACCAGTCTTCGATCTCCAAGGCGATTTGGGACAGTGGCTTGCATTTGCTTACCAAAACAAAACCATGTGCAGCTTAGCTAGCGTCTTACAATCTCTAACCTCGGAGGCAAGAGGCGTTGACACGAGGTTTCCGGACTCCAAGAACATCGTCGCTGCGAACACCTGTCGGGACCTTTTCAGCTTGCGCTTCAACGGCATCTCCCGGGTCTCCGCCAAGCGCTGCTCTGCTTGCGATGGTCGCACTGGTCCTAGAAACTGAAGGGGGTTCTTATTAAGGGATCCTTTGAGGGTTTTTGTTACGGAACTTAAGTTCAGCTTGCGGTCCAACCGATTCCGGGAGCGACTCCGTGGCATGGCCAAGTGCCTGAGCCTCCGCAGGTTGTCCTGGGCTCTTGTTCAGGAACTTAATAGGGTTTGAATAGGGTTTCTAGGGTTTTCATGAGTTTTAGTGGGTTCTAGTCGGTTCTCAATAGGGTTTTATAGGGTTAAGGAACTGAATTTTAAAATACCATAATGAGGAAGCCATGTTATGTACTGTAGATCCCTATTATGGTAACATAGAACCAATTTCTTTAACGAGAGCCGAGTATCGGCGGCGTTGGCCTGCCTTTGTCCACAACTTGGCCATGAGGACCAGCAGTGACAAGACCGCCAAATAGCCGCCGAGCGCAACCAAAGACCAAGCTCCGACATCAGCGAATGCAAACCTAGGTTCCCCAGCAACCCTTGTGGAATGCGCCCGTTTTCCAATTATTCGGGCTTAAACACAGGGATCCCAACAAAAAAACGAGAGCAAAACTATACGGATCCAGGAAACTCGGTGGCTGCCAGCGTCGAGAGAGGCTCGATTCGCGTGGTCGTGCTAGACGTAAACGTGGATGTGACCGTACGGGTCGACGTAAATGTGACCGTACGGGTCGTGGTGGTGGTGGTGGTGATCCATCTGTACACCTTGGAGTTTACATTGCGAGTAGCATCGATGTTGTGGTTGGCCACTGCAAGGTGTTGGACGCCATCCATTGAGAAGGCCGCCCAAGCCT